CTACAGGTAAGGTATGATCTTGCTACTGCACTCCACCCTGGGGGACAGAGAGAAACTGCCTCTTAAAAAATATATCAGGAAATACTATTTATTGTTTAAGAAGGAAAGGAAAGGTTTCTAAAAGGGGCTTAAATTCTTTGATGTTATCAAATGCCATATAGATACAGAATAAGATAGGACTGAAAGAGTCCACTTGATTTTCCATTCAAGCAATGTGTTCAGGAAATATTTGTTAAGCATACATGAATAAATCAACATGATTCATCTATTTATAGAACTTGCAATATAGTTGGGGTTATAAACAGTCAAGAAGTAACCTCATAAATCAACATTTAATTAAAAACCATGATAATTTCTAGAAAGGAAAAGAAAAAAGGTAATCTGGGAGACTTCAGTAGGGAGATCTATTTCTGACTGATAGGCAACTGAAGGTACCACTGGGAAAGCAAAACTGAAGCTATGACTCAAAGAGAGAGGGAGGCAGCAAGCAGGAGTAAAGGAGCAGCATGTGCAGTGGTCCTGAGCAGGAAAGAGCATAGTAATTTCCAAAATAAAATGTGGTTGAGGCATAATGAGCAAGAGGCCAAATGGCAGGTGATAAAATTAGGAGAGGTGGGCCGGTGCCAGACCAGATAGTGTCTTCTAGGTCATGGTAAGAAGTTAATGCTGTAGCTTTACTGCTATAGAACGGCACTGGTATTTTAAGCAGATAAAAATTATGATGCAATACAGATACACTCTAGAAATAGCATACTAAGGGTTGTACTGAGACTGATTTGGAAAAGGGCAAAAGTGTAAGTGGGAAAAACAAGAGAAATGTACATGTGATGGTTAATTGCAATGATGATGTTGGCTTGGACTAAGGTGGTGGCAATGGAGATGGAGAGAAGTGAGTATATTTGATGTGTATTTCAGATGTGAACAGGAGGTATTTAAGGGCCTTTCCTAGTTCAATTTCAATGCATTATTTAAGGCAGAATTCTAATTGCCATTGGTTGAACAGTGATTTAGAGCTCACGAAGGAAGAGGAAGAGGAGACTGATCTTTGAAAAAAACTGATGCTAGGAAATGCAGAGAAGGCGGGAGCAAGCAGAAACCTCAGTCAAGGAAGGAATTTTATTCATCCATCCACCCATCTATCCATTCCTTTCCAGGAAGCGAATGACTAAAGATGTCTTCTTTTTTTTTCTGAAGAGCAGAGCAGAGTGGAAACTGACAAATTGAGGAAGTAATAAAATAACGTAAGAGTAATAAAATAAAATAAGAGAAGGAAAGTAAGCAAGAGATACTACCACCTAAAGTAGGCAGTGCATAATAATGTCCAAAACTGAAATAAGAAGATGAGGATGTAGTCAAGTATAACATACACACACACACACCCCCACAACCCAGGAGCACCGTGGCTAAAGCACTGGCTACAAATTCGCACTGCTCATATTTGAATTCTGTGACTACTAGTTACTATGTAACTTTGGACAAGCAAACTAGCCTTCCTTGGGCCCAGTTTCCTCTTCCTTTTATTTTTTTTTTTTGAGAAAGAGTCTTGTTCTGTGGCCCAGGCTGGAGTGCAGTGCCCCGATGTCGGCTCACTGCAACCTCTGCCTCCCATGTTCAAGATTCTCCTGTCTCAACCTCCCCAGTAGCTGGGATTACAGGCATGCGCCACCATACCCGGCTCATTTATGTATTTTTAGTAGAGATGGGGTTTCACCATGCTGGCCAGGCCAGTCTCAAACTCCTGACCTCAGGTGATCCTCCCACCTCGGCCTCCCAAATTGCTTGGATTACAGGCGTGAGCCACAGTGCCCGGCATCCTCATCCTTAATATGGAGCCATTAATAGTGCCAAACTCAAAGGGGTGTCTTGAGCAATATATAAGTTGGTGCAAGTAAAAATGCTTCTCACAGAATCTGACACAGTAAGTCCTCAATATTTTTGTTTCTATCCACACTAATATCAACAACAATAATGGTAATGATAATTGAGCTTCTCTTTTTCTGAGGATTGACAGAGAATGAGTAAGTAAAAGATATATAGCTGGAGATAATTTTGTAGGTAGAAGAGATATTGGAGGTTCAGAAGTCAAAATGCTTTCTTTTTTCTCTGGCAAGTAACAGGTTAGGATGTTTGTGGTAAGTTACAAGAATGGGGAGGAGATAGAAGACTTGAAGAGAGCAGGAAAGGTATGGTATGGTCATTATGGAAAAATGAAAGTATGTTGAACAGGGAGAGAGTGAAATAGCTGTTAAAATAGCAATGAGAATCTGACTGAGGTAAAGGCTAAAATGTCAAAAAGATACCAACTGACTCACTTCACCAAAGGGAACAGAAATGAAAAAAAGCAAGACAGAGGCACAATGAGAATGCGAAGGAGCTTGGATTTCATTCTGTAAATTCAAGGAGACACTGGAGGTTTTTGATATAGAATCATGTGATAAATACACTAATAATGTTAACAAGAGAAGTGAGCAGAGGCAATGAGCCTCTTCAGTTTGGAGTCTCTCTCATTACTGCCAATGATTCTATTACGCAGCTTCCAAAATTGTCCTCACATTAGGCTGCTGAGATGTTTAAGGATTAAAAAGTTTTTGGGTGTATACATATACAAGTGAATTGAATTTCAGCATACACCTAGAGAAATACATTTTAGCAAAATTTCTATTGCTACAGATTTAAATTACACTGCTTTCTAATTTCAAGCTCCTTAGGCTTAATAATTGTCCTGTAATTCAATTCCATAAACATTTATTTACCATCTATTTTATACATGATATTGTTCTAAACACTGCAAAGACTAAAGTATATCATTATTTAAAAAATATTTCCTTGACGTGAATGTAGCCAAACATTACTGGGCAAATCCTGATTGATACTTTCTTTGATAATTTATATAGTGTAAACTAGTTTGTAATGTCCTTGACTTTTTTCCCCCACAGACATATAGCTAAGAATGGTGAGAGTAAATAAGGGGACTAGGTTACTTCATGTACACACAGCCTCAGAATTATTTATGGTTATGTGCATAAACAAGAAATCTCTTCCATTTTCTATTTTGCTTTTAGTTCAGAAGGTATATTGCTTTTTATGTCCCCAAACTTCATTTCCTCAGTGTGGTACCAAGGATATGCCTCTTGAAAGGACCTGCTTGGCAAACTAATACATCTTCCAAGATAAACTGCATTCAGATAAAAAAAAAATGGCTTGAGAGAAATTGTGTAGTATACCTACTGTAAAACTCATAACCATCATGACACAGCTGAATTCTCAGAGGGTATATAGCCTTGCTTCAATTATAATATGAATCGAAGCAGCTTAGGCTTCACGTGTGGACTTTGGTCTAAGTAATTGTATCACTCAATGTTGTGCTAAATTGCTTTTAGTTAACAAATGATAGCTATCGAATTCAATTGATTAATTCACCTTGTTCAAAAATAAGAGAAACACCTTTCTCAGATACCATTATATGCTCTATCTGATCCGAAATATACATTCCTGATTTTCTTTGCAAGAATTTGACAGAATCCTTCTACATAAGTATAGTCAACATCTTGTGTCAAAATTAATAAACTCTAAATATGGGTGAGCATTTATTGCACATGTTCAAAGGAACATTCTCAGCCTCATCTAGCACAGTTTGATTTTAAACAGGATTTTTAAACTGCAAAGTATCAAATTAGATCAATTCTAACATATTATACTATTTAAAAGCTTATAAAATATTTTGGATAAAGCTGAAAATGTTTGACTATTAGGTCCAATAGTAATTTTACAATTCTTAGTATGCAAATGGAAATGTTCGGGGAGCCAGGGTAAAGATGGTGACCATAATGTAACTATTTATTCATACAGCAAACAAACAAACTTGTACTGAATACCTAAGTAAAAAACAGCTTTTTCTCCAAGAAATTAAATAAATCATGATGCCCTCTTTCCTGCCATGTTTTTTGTTTGTCTGTTTTTTGTTAACTATTTGAATAGTCAGTTTGGGGAATACTTAAAATGTAATTATATTCTTGAATTCATAATATATACTTACTCATCTTTTGTACCCTTTAATATTAAGGGTGGGATAAGAAAAACTAATTAATTTCAATAACAATTTAACTGCATGATGATTTAAAGACATGATGTATATTTATAAGATTTTTCTTCCCAGCTAAAACAGCACCTTTCAAGCTTTAAATCAATTAATGACACTCTAATTGACTAATAGGATATCTGAAAATCCCTGCACTTTTTATGACACAATATATACCCTTGAAAAGTCTCTAGTGCTTTGCTAATTATCTAGTAATTACCCTTTTATTTTAACCTATGTTTTTTGGGGCCAAATTCTAACATTAAGGTCTAAACGGAAGGAAAAATAGTCCATATAATAATATTGTATACTGTTTGCATATATTAATAGAATTAAAAATTGGCACTGTTATACAAAAGATCCCCTGAGATATCTTGAAGTATTTTAATGAAATAATGAATATTTCATTATTTTTCAATACCATGACAAATAATAATAAATAAAAAAGGGCCAGGCACAGTGGCTTGCGCCTGTAATCCCAGCACTTTGGGAGGCCAAGGTGGGTGGATCACCTGAGGTCAGGAGTTCAAGACCAGTCTGGGCAACATGGTGAAACCCTGTCTCTACAAAAATACAAAAATTAGCTGGGCATGACGGCAAGTGCCTGTAATCCCAGCTACTTGGGAGGCTGAGGCATGAGAATGGCTTGAACCCAGAAGGCAGAGGTTGCAGTGAGCTGAGATCACGCCATTGCACGCTAGCCTGGGTGACAGAACGAGACTCCATCTTCAAAACATAAAAATAAATAAAAAATAACAACAATAGGTAAAAAAGATTTTTTTCTGACAGCCAACATTATATTAAATTATGTAGCAATACAGTAACAAAAAAAAATTGACAACTGAAATGTCTTTCATTTCACTGTTTCTGACAAATGTTAACCTCCCAGCTGAGTTTGTGGTCCCTTATGTTGGATACATACCACAACTCCAAATTGTTCAGGCTCACAGAGGTCATCATACTCATCCTTAAGCTCTGCTAATTCATTGAGTATCTTCTGCTCAGGGAGATGTTTCACAAGGTTCTAAAAAAAAAAAAAAAAGTATAAAAATTTAGTGCTTTAGTATTAGAACTTTTAAACATGCATTATCAATTATGAAAGTGATTAATTAGGACAGTAAATTTCTGATTGTGGTTCTGTTATAGTGCCAGAGTATTCTCTCTTCTCTCCAAAATTTGACCTAAAATGAACTACAATAAATTGTGAATAAAATGTATTAACTTATTTGGTTTCTGTATAATATAGTATATACATATTAAATAAAAGATTATATAAGAATGAATGGTATTCCAAAATTAAGTAAACTTCTGGGACTTAAACATATAGAATAATTTTTAAGCTTTATTTTCAGTCATAATAATTTGTCAATCTAAACTAAAAACAGAAAAATACTATGTAGAATGTTTATGTACAGTAATACTCAAATTATCAATTGTACTATTCATAATTTTTCAAAACCTGGAATCATCTTCAATCTTAAAAATTACACCTGGGTCGTATAAAATCTTCCATGATCTACAATGTCTACATTTTTTTTTTTTTTTTTTTGTATTTTAGTAGAGACGAGGTTTCACCATGTTGTCCAGGCTGGTCTCGAACACTTGAGCTCAGGCAATCCACCCACGTTGGCCTCCAAAAGTGCTAGGATTACAGGTGTAAGCCACCGCACCCAGCCTACAATGTCTACATTTAAGTACACAATACATTCCTGCTTTTAATGGAGAATCAAGCAAAACTCATGAAGTTGTATGCATGCTCAAATTTGATGACTCTTATGAACTGAATGTTTGTGTCCCTCCAAAATCCTTATGTCAAAATCTAATCCTCAATGTGATTATCTTTAAAGGCAGTGCCTTTGGGGGGCAATTAGGTCATCAGAGTGGAGCCCCCAGGAATAGGATTAGCTCCCTCTTAGGAAGAGGCCAGAAAACTAGCTTGCTTTCTTCCCACAATGTAAGCATGCAATGAGAAGTTAGCAGTCTACAACCCAGATGAGGGCCCAACCATGTTGGCATCCTGAACTTGGACCTCCAGCCTCCAAGACAGTGAGAAATAAATTTCTGTTGTTTATAAACCTCCCAGGCTTATACAAAACACCCACCTAACAAAAGCAAAAAGTACATTCTTCTTAAGTACACATAAAAGATTTTCCAGGATAATCATGTCAGGCCACAAAACAAGACCTAATGCATTTATAAAAACTAATATCATACAAAGTATCTTTGTGATCATAAGTGAATGAATCTAGAAAAAAAAAATAGAAGGAAAAGTGGAAAATCTTCAGTTATGCAGAAATTGATAAATAGAGTCTTAAGCAACCAATGGGTCAAAGAAAGAATCACAAGGAAAATTAGAAAACACCTTGAGAGGAATGAAAACACAAACACAACGTATCAAAACATATGGAATGCGGTGAAAGCAGTGCTAAGAGGGACAATTATAGCAGTAAATATCTACATTAAAAGAAAAAGATTTCAAAACAATCACCTAACTTTACATCTTAAGGAACTAGAAAAAGAGGAGCAAACTAAAGCAAAAGCTAATAGCAGGAAGGAAACAAAGATTAGAGAAAAACAAGATAGACAAATTAAACCATCCAAGTGTGGTGGCTCATGCCTATAATCCCAGCCCTTTGGGAGGCTGAGGCAGGTGGATGTCTTGAGCTTAGGAGTTCAAGGCCAGACTGGGAAATATGGCAAACTCTGTCTCTACAAAAAAATACAAAAATTAGCCAGGCATGGTGGATCATGCCCGTGGTCTCAGCTACTTGGGAAAATCACTTGAGCAAAAGGAGATCGAAACTGCAGTGAGCTGAGATTGCACCACTGCACTCCATCCTGGGCAACAGGGTGAGACCCTGTCTCGAAAAAAGGAAAAAAAAAAAGAAAAGGAAAACTGTAAACCAATAGAGAAAATTAATAAAACCAAACCGAAAGTCGTATATTAGTCCATTTTCATGCTACTGATAAAGAGATACTCGAGACTGGGCAGAAAAAGAGGTTTCAAGCCAGGTGCAGTGGCTCATGTCTGTAATTCCAGCATTTTGGGAGGCCGAGGTCGGCAGATGCCCTGGGGTCAGGATTTCAAAACCATCTTGGCCAACAGGGTAAAACCCTACCTCTACAAAAATATAAAAATTAGCCAGGCATGATGGCAGGTGCCTGTAATCCCAGCTACTTGGGAGGCTGAGGTGGGAGAATCTCTTGAACCTGTGAGGTGGAGGTTGCAGTGAGCCAAAATCACACCATTGTACTCTAGCCTGGGCAACAGAGCAATACTCTGTCTTAAAAAAGAAAAAAAAAAGATTTAATTGGATTTACAGTTCCACATGGCTGGGGAGACCTCAGAATTATGGTGGGAGGTGAAAGGCACTTCTTACATGGCAGTGGCAAAGGAAAATGAGGAAAATGCAAAAGCAGAAACCCATCAGATTTCGTGAGACTTACTCACTATCACGAGAATAGCTCAGGAAACACAGGCCCCCATGATTCAATCATCTCCCCCTGGGTCCCTCCCACAATGTTGTAATTCTGGGAGATACAATTCAAGTTGAGATTTGGGTGGGGACACAACATACAATTCAAGTTGAGATTTGGGTGGGGACATAGTCAAACCATATCAAGTTGGTTCTTTGAAAAGATCAAAACAAACAAACAAGGCCGGGCATGGTGGCTCACGCCTATAATCCCAGCACTTTGGGAGGCTGAGGCGGGTGGATCACGAGGTCAAGAGATCGAGACCATCCTGGTCAACAAGGTGAAACCTCGTCTCTACTAAAAATACAAAAATTAGCTGGGCATGATGGTGCGTGCCTGTAATCCCAGCTACTCAGGAGGCTGAGGCAGGAGAATTGCTTGAACCCAGGAGGCGGAGGTTGCGGTGAGCCGAGATCGTGCCATTGCACTCCAGCCTGGGTAACGAGAGCGAAACTCCGTCTCAAAAAACAAACAAACAAAAACCAAACCACAAACCTTTAGCTAGATTGATGAGTTAAAGTAAAATAAAAACTCTAGTAATTAAAATCAGAAATAAAATTGGACATTACTACTGACTTAATAAAAATAAAAAACTATAAGAGAAAATTATGAACAATTATATACCAAAAAATTGGATAACCTAGAAGAAATGGACTAATTCCTAGAAATACACAAACTACTAAAATGGACTCAAGAAGAAATAGAAAATCTGAATGGACCTGTAACAAGTAAGTAGATTTAATCAGTAATCAAAAACCTCCACACAAAGAAAAGCATAGGACCCAATTGTTTCACTGATGAATTCTGTCAATATTTAAAGAATGTACGCCAATCCTTCTCAACTTTACCCAAAAAAATGAAGATGGGAAAACTTCCTATCTCTTTCTATGCAGCCATCATTACCCTGAAAAGGAGGTTGGTCAAATATACTACCAAAAAAGAAAATTATAGGCCAATATCCCTTATGAACGAATGTAAAATTCCTCCAAGAAATACCAGCAAACTGAATTCAGCAGCCTAATGAAAGGATTATACACCATAATCAAGAGCAATTAAGCAAAAAAGAAATAAAATCCATGTAAATAGGAAAGGAAGAAGTAAAAGTATTCCTGCTCACTGATGACATGATCTTATATGTAGAGAACACTAAATCATCCGCAAAAAAACTGATAGAGCTAATAAATGAATTCAACAAAATTGAAGCATACAGAATAAACATGCAAAAATCAGTTGCAGTTCTATGCAGTCACAATGAATAGTCTAGGAAGGAAATTTGAAAAACTATTCAATTTACAATAGCATCCACCATAAAAAACTCTCTCATACTCAGAAGAATGCCTATTTTCAAAACAGTGGAACATAACACAGGTTAGTGAGGATGTGGAAAAATAGGAACACTTGTACGTTACTGGGGGTATATAAAATTTTGCAGTCCCCATAGAAAACAGTTTGGCGGTTACTCAGAAAATAAACACAGAATTACCATATGACGCCATAATTCCATCCCTAATATGATGGTTATGTATCAACTTGAGTAGGCAAAGATGTGCCCAGATTAAACATTATTTCTGGGTGTGTCTATGAGGGTGTTTCAGGATGAGATTAGAATTTTAATTGGTAGACTCAGTAATGTTGATTACCGCCTCCCCTATGCAGGTGAGAATCAGCAAATCATTTGGGGGCCTGAACAAAACAAAAAGGCAGAAGGAGGAGGAATTCATCCCTTTTGCTTCCTGTGTGCCTGCTTGAGCTGGGACACTGATCTTCTCCTGTCCTAGAACTGAAATTTACAGTCAGTGCTCATGGTTCTCAAGCCCTCAGACTGAGGACTTGGACCAGAATTACACCACTGGCTTTCCTGGGTCTCCAGCTTACAAATGACATATCATGAAACTTCTCAGCTTCCATAATGCAGTGAGCCACCTCCTCATAATAAATCTCTTTATACACACACACACACACACACACACACACACACACACACACGTGGTTCTGTTTCTTTGGAGAACTCTAAGACACTTAGGTATCTGCATAAAAACTAAAACCAGGGACTCAAACAGACACTGTACATAAATGTCACAGCATCATTATTCAATATCCAGAAGGTAGAAACAACTCATCTGTCTACCAACAGATGTATTGATAAAATGTAGCATATACATACAATAGAATCTTATTCAGTCACAAAGGAATGAAGTTTTGACACATGCTATAACATAGAAAAACTCTGCAAATATTTCATTTAATAAAACAAAATAGATACAAAAGAACAAATATTGTATGATTCCACTGATATGAAGTATCAACAACAGGCAAATTTTTAGAGACGAAAAGTAGAACTGAAGTTACTGGGAGCTAGGCAGAGAAGGGTATGGGGAGTTACTGCTTAATAGGTTTAGAGTTTCTGTTTGGGATGATGACAAAGTTTTAGAAATAGTGATAATTTTACAACAATGTCAATGTACTTAATGCGTCTTTATTATACACGTAAAATGGGTAAAATGGTTAGTTTTATGTTACATATTTTTCCACAATGAAAAGATAACT